GTGGTGGGAGGGGGCCTGCCACCACAGCTTCACCTCTGCACCCCTTCCCTCCCCAGCGGGGACCCTCTTGATCGTGAAAAACTACACTGGGGACCGGCTGAACTTCGGGCTGGCACTGGAGCGGGCACGGGCGGAGGGGGCCGATGTGCAGATGGTAGTTGTGGGGGATGACAGCGCCTTCACCACCCAGAAGAAGGCAGGGCGCCGCGGGCTGTGTGGCACGGTGCTCATACACAAGGTGAGTAGCTCCACAGTGCCCCCCTTTCCCCAAACTGTGACACAGAGCCATGTGCTGGCCCCTCCGGGGGACTGGAGATCCACAGCTGGCGGGTGGAGGTGCTGGGGTATGGCCTAGGTCTGTCAGGTCCTGGTGGTGCTGTGAGCCTCGTTGCATCCCTCTGGGGCTGCAGGTTTTCAAGAGGGGGTGCCAGGTGCGGTGTGCCGGCAGGCATGGCAACCAGAGCCCTTATGCAGCACTGCTCTTTGCAGGTGGCTGGGGCCTTGGCCGAGGCGGGAGCGAGCTTGAGTGAGATCGTAAAGACAGTGTCGGCAGCTGCCAAAGCTATGGGTATGTGTGGGACCTTGTCTCTCGGCACAACTCTCAAGCCCCGCGCTGTCAGCCGTCGCTGGCTTCCCAAGCCCTGTGGGCCTGCAGGGAGCCCCAGGGCTGATGTTCCTCAGAGCAGGATGCTGGTATATCTGGGACCTGCCTTTCCCCCGGCCCCATCCTGCCCCAGCTCTGCAAGGGCAGAGGAACTCTGCAGCCTCCTCTCTCCCTCTCCCTCCTCAGTGGCAGTTTGTAGCCACGGGGCAGATAAGAAACACCAGCTCAGAGCGGACTTTGGCCCAGCACAGGGTTGCCCTGCATGTGGCCCATGTGCCTGCAGCGTGGCTGGGGCAGGGCAGGCCCTGGCAGCCCTCCTGTGGCCCCTGCCAGGCTGTCCATCTCCCACCAGTGCTCTGAGGAACCAGCATGCTTAATCCCTTCTTTCTTCTCTCCCCATGCAGGTACCCTGGGCCTCAGCCTGTCCCCTTGCAGCGTCCCTGGATCCAAGCCCACCTTCCAGCTGGCTCACGATGAGATGGAGCTGGGACTGGGTAAGGAAGTGCCGCTTGTCCCCTTCTGTACCCAGGCCTATGTGGCTCGCAGTACGTCTCTCCGTGCCTGGCTGTTGCCCCATGGCCAGGGGCTGAGCAAGCCCACATGGGTGCCACCAGGCAATCTGGCCTTGGGAACACAGGGCAGGCATCAGCTGGCCTGAGAGGTGCCCGAGGGTATGAGGCAGCTGCAACCAGGTGTGGGGTGACGCTACCCTGTCTTTGCAGGGATCCATGGCGAAGCGGGTGTGCGCAGGATGAAGGTAAGCAGGGTCCCATCGCACCTCCCCTCCCCTTGTGCTCCTCCACCCTCCGCTCACAGCCCTCTGCTCTCCCCAGGTGGTGTCGGCAGACGAGGCTGTGGAGACCATGCTGACACACATGACGGACCCTTCCAACGCCTCCCACCTGTCTCTGAGCCCCGGTGAGTACCCCCGGCCCTCCACGACTTGGCCTCTGCTCAGGCATGAGGCCTGGGGCTCACTGCACTCCCCGCCTTCCAGGCAGCTCTGTGGTGCTGGTGGTGAACAACCTGGGTGGCCTGTCCTACCTGGAGCTGGGCATTGTGGCCGGCGCAGCCGTACGTGGCCTGGGTGAGTGCTGCTGAGCAGTCAGGAGACAGATGGGGAAGCAGGGGGTCCCAGAGCATCGTTCCCTGGCTCTGCCTGACTCCTCTGCTCCCAGGGACCTCCCCCAGACCGCTCATGGCCACCTTGTGCCCGCAGAGAGCCGAGGCATCCACATCGCCAGGGCCTTGGTGGGCTCCTTCATGACAGCACTGGAGATGGCCGGTGTCTCGCTCACCCTCATGCTAGTGGATGACGAGCTCCTGGGGCTAATCGGTGAGTGTTCATAGGCAGGGATGTGGGTACAGGACAGGGACATGTGGACCAGGGCTCCCCCTAGGCACGGGGACAAGAGGGTGTCTCAGGAGACCTGGTGGGCACATGGGACCAGTGCCTGGTTGCCAGCATGGGCAGCACTGCCAGGAGGAGACGGCGAGGAGCCAGCAGGGTTCTGCACAGCTGGCACTCACCTGTTTCACCCTTTGCTGCTCTAGATGCCAAGACCACAGCCATGGCTTGGCCCAGCCTGGCTGCAGCACCTGCAACAAGCCGGAGAGAGGAGGTGCCAGCGCCAAAGGAGGAACTGCAGACAGTGCAGCCTGCAACCAGCACGGGTATGGACAGCCCCAGGACTGCTATCTGCCATGGCCCTGCAGGGCAAAGTGGGGAAGCCCCTCTGTGCTGTGACCCCTGGAAGCTGTCACCTTCCTGTGCCTTAGTATCACCATCTCTTCCTGGGGATGAGGGCAGGCAGGTTTCCTGGGCTGCTGGGCACTGCTGGTGGGGAGGTGTGTTGTGTGCTGGGCCACAGAGGCGCAGACTCAACGTTTGCTCTCTGCAGGGCCTGGCGGGCAGCGGGCACAGCTGGTCCTGGAGCACGTGTGCAGCACCCTGCTTGCCATGGAAGACAAGCTCAATGAGCTGGACCGTGCTGCGGGTGACGGGGACTGCGGCCACACGCACGCCCGGGCTGCCCGAGGTGGGTACCGACACCTGTGCCCCGGCCCAGGGACACCTGGGGAGAGGGTTCCCCCAGCCACCCCCTCCCAGGGAGCAGGGTCTCCCCCAAGACAACCCTTTCTGGCAATAGGGACCCCCTAGTTGTTCTTTCCAGCTGGGAAGCAGGGCCTCCCCCTAAACCGTCCCTTCCTGGCGGACAGGGTCCCCCCAACCATCCCTTCCCTGGGAGGAGGGGTCCCAAAGTGTCCCTGCACCCTGCCCTGCTCCCAGTGGTGCTGCTCTCAGGGGTGATGGGGAGTCCCTGATTTCCCACAGGAGGAGCAGGGATCCCTAACTGCCCCTGGGGCAGTGCAGGGTCCCTGACTATCCCTAGAGGAGTTGGGGGGCCTCCAGCTGCCCCTAGGGGAGACAGGCTTCCCAGCAGGTCCAAGAGAACCGTCTTGGCCCCAGTCATCTCCCCACCGTGTCCCTGCAGCCATCCAGGAGTGGGTGCATGCCCGGCCCCCACCGGCAGCCCCGGCCCAGCTCCTCTCCGCACTGGCAGACCTGCTGTTGGAGGAGATGGGTGGCTCCTCTGGGGTGGTGAGTGAAGGGCTGCTGTTGGGGGGGGAGCAGTGGGGCTGGGCCAGGCCTGTCATCCTCACCGGACCCGGGCCATCGTTCCCACCATGGGCACTGATGGGGCTGGTGTCCCCACAGCTCTATGGGCTCTTCCTGACGGCAGCTGCCCAACCCCTGCACAACCGTAGCGACCTCCCAGCCTGGGCTGATGCCATGGACGCCGGCATCGAAGCCATGCAGCGGTGAGTGGTGGGGGCACAGGCTGCGGGACCCCGGCCCCTCTGCGGGACTCTGCCCTTGCCCTGCCAACCTCTCTGCGCTCTGTGCAGGTATGGAGGAGCTGCTCCAGGGGACAGGACCATGGTGAGCACTGCCATCCCCAGGCATGCAGGGCATAGTCACCCCCCTGCCCTGAGCTGAGGAGGCCACCAGGCCTGCCTGTGGCCCTGCTTCTCAGCCATCTTCCCTTGTTTCCCAGCTGGACTCGTTGTGCGCCGCCAGGGAGGTCCTGCAAGCCCTGCGCACCCCTGGCGCCAAGCTACTGCAAGTGCTGGCTACGGCTGTGCAGGTATGAGGGAAGAAAGGAGCCCCGGATGGGCATGGGGAAGCCCAGAGGAGAGCAGCCCAAAGGCAAACCAGGCTGGCGAGGCCCAGAGGTGGCAAAGGAAAGTGTAGGAATTGCCATGCCAGGCTGTCACGATGCACAGTAGATCCAGGCTGGGAAGCACCGGGCAGGGGAGCAGGGGCAGTGTGGGGCCTGGGGCTGGCCTGGCAGTATGCCAGATGTCCACCTGTGTCCTGAACGGGCCCCATCTCCTTGGCAGAGCGCGGAGGCTGCAGCGGAGGCGACCAGGCACATGGAAGCTGGTGCTGGCAGAGCCAGTTACATTAGCTCAGCCCAGCTCCTGCAGCCAGACCCTGGGGCGGTGGTGGCGGCGGCCGTGCTGCGGGCCGTGCTGGAGGGGCTGCAAAGCTGAGAGGTGGCCCTCACTGCTGATCCCCTTGTCTGGCAGCCTCTCCTGTGCCCCAGGGCTTGGGGCTGGCAGGAGTTCAGAAAACACTCCCCACCCATCCCTAATAAACCTTTGTGGTCCCCCTAACCTGGCTCAGAGCATCTGTCCCCACAAGGAGGAGGATGGGACTGGGGGGGATCCAAGCTGGCAGGGATGGACCAGGCCTCTTGGGGAGGGGGATAGGACCAGGGGATCCAGTCAGCTCCACACTCCAGCATGAGCGTGACAGTGCTGGGGAGAGGAAGGAAGCTGCTGGACCGTCCACGGTGCCTGGTTGGGTGCTTGGGAAAGGAAACCACAGAGCCCACGTGGCCCCAGACACAAGGCCTGGAGGAGGTTCTGGAAGAGGGAAAAATGGGAACCAGGGCAGGGGCAGAGCCCAGAACTGTTGGCTTATGCTGGGGCCTGCCCCAGGCCAGTCTGGGCAGGTCCCACAGCGGGGAGGGTTGGGGGAGTCACATGGAGAGGGGCCACACTGGTCACAAGAGCCTGCGGGCAAGCGCAGAGACGTGGCCTGCCTGAGTCACCGATGCTGGGGGAGCTCCAGCTATCAGCAGCAGAGGGGAGGGCCGGTACGAGCACGAGGGCCAGTGCGGAGAAGAGGCATCCCCCCACAGAGGGGACGTGTCTGCTGGGGAACATGGCAGCCAGGCCTCAGAGCTTGGCTCAGCTAGAGCTGCTCAGTTCTGCCCCAGTTCCCTGCCCTGGCACTGGCCCCAGAGTGGCAGTGCAGCACCAGCTCCTGCTCTCCAGGCACCCATCTCTCCCGCCCTCGCGCCCCGGCGGTGCCAAAGGATACGATGGCAGGTGCGTTGCAGAAGCCAGTGGTTTATTACCCTTCCACCACTACATGCGGGGCTGGTCCCCCTGCCCGGCAGATAAGGAAGGGTCAAGGAGCCACTGGCTGGGGAGATGCAAGCAGCCTGACAAGGCGTGGCACGAGAGCTGTGGCAGTGGGCTGGGACCTGCACCCCTCCATCCCCGTTGCCCTGAGCCGGGCACCCTGCATCGCAGACACGCACTGAGCAGACGGAGGAGCCCGTGAGGTGCTGCACGTTTCATGGGAACGCTCCCTTGGGGGCTCCTAACATGACGCGGCTCTGACAGGTCTGGCTCTGCAGACGTGGTGTCCTGCCATCCCGCTGAGGAGGGCTGGCAGCGCGGAGCCCAGACCAGGCTCCACGGGCCTGCTCAGGGGCAATCAGCCTGACACGGGCCGAGGCCCAGGCTCCGGGGTCAGCCAGGCCCAGC